TCCCCCCCCCCCAACAAAAAAAATTCTTGGTGTTCCTCATAAAAAAATTGTTTGGTGTTCCTTGGTCTTAAAAAGCTGAAGAAACACTGGTTTAAATGGTTAAGTGATGAGCCTGGGCTCTTCTGTTAACCTTCAGTTACATGCAGCCCGCCCCTGCCATGCTGCTGCCTCTGTCTCTGAGAAGGGAGGAGGTGTGCTATCAGTACTGGAACACGGTTTTACGAGGCCTATCTGCAGAATGGCACTAACAGATGTGGGATAACTGGTGTGACAGCTCAGCTTGTGTGGTTAGCATTTAAGTAGTAAGCTCATGGCCAGGCACAGGCTGTGGTGAAAGGCTTTCTGCACTGATCACAGCTAACAAACAAATAAAAGCAGGAGAGGAAAATAAAAAACTAGTATAAGATTGAAGCTTTAAAAATAATTGTCCAGAGGCAAGATTTTCATAAGTGACTAATGATTTTGAGCGAATATCACTCCATGCTTCTGATAAAGTGGTTTTTATCCACGAAAGCTTATGTCCACATAAATCTATTAGTCTTTAAGGTGCCTCAGGATTCTTCATGGTTTTTCCAGATAAAAACTAATGTAGTGCTACCTCTGTGAGATAGGTCTAAACTGTAATTTAGAGGTGCAACTGCAGCTCATATAAGCATTTCCATGCTAGCTTTAACTGTACAATACAGACACGGGGGTGTGAGCTTCTGCCTGGGCTAGAAACCCCTATGTACTTGGGTTGCTGGTCTGCATTAGGTTCTATACTGCTCTGTCTTCACTGCTATCATTATGCTTGCTAGCCAGATTAAAGCCTGTGTCGGTCTGGCTATCTGCATTACACATTCAACTGCAGTGCAGATGTACCCTAAAGGAGCTGGAGTCTTCCCACAGACTAGAACAGTATTCTCCTTATGATCCCATTATCTAGCAATCTTTTCCATTAAGTACCACCAACAGGGCTAAATCTGGTCTCTGGGAGTTGCCCCCATTTATGCAGCTTTGCCAGCTGACTGCAACCTGCATAAGTACAGTGCTCTGCACAACACCACATGTTAGATACTGGTTCTCAACCAGAGGTACGTATACTCCTCAGGGGGCATGCAGAGGTCTTCCAGGAATAATCAACTCATCTAGATATTTACTTAGTTTTACAACAGGCTAAATAAAAACATTAGCAAAGTCAGTACAAACTAAAATTTCATACAATTATTTGCTTATACTGCTCTATTATAGTGACATGCAAGTACAACATGGATAGTCACTATTTTATAATTATATGGCAAAAAGGAGGAAAAAAGCAATTTTTTCAGTAGCAGCATGCTTTGTTGATTCTGAATTTTATGTCTAATTTTATTAGTAAGTACTTAGTTTTCAAGTGAGGTGAAATGTTGCATACAAGGCAAATCAGACTAGGGATGTGAACAACTAGTCGACAGGCTAGTCGACTAGTTGCTTCTCTCCTTGCTGCCTCTATCAGAATAAGGCAGCAGGGGGGAGGGAAGGGGAGGGTGAGGGGCGCCAGGGGGGAGGGGGAGGCTTCAAAATGGCAGCACTGGATGGAGCCTGGGGCCAGACCCTGAGCTCCATGCCTGCTGCTGCTTTGAAACATTGCAGGGAACACGGAGCCAGCGGGGGACTACATGAGCCCCCCGCTGGCCCTGTGCTTCCCGCAGCACTTTCCCTTTTGAAGTGTAGCAACAGCCCTGCGGCTATTGCTACACTTCAATGGCGGAAGTGCCCTTATCGACTAATCAAATAGTTGATGCAAATTGCACCAACTATTTGATTAGCTAAATACTAGACATTTTACATCCCTAAATCAGACTCATGAAATGGGTACAGCAATCTGGAAAGGTTGAGAACACTGAGCCTGACATTCAGCTCGGTAACCTAACTATTTTGCAGTAAGGCTGCAGGCTAAACCACAGAAGTGCTGATAGGCTCCAGTGCTTTCCCACTATTCTTCCCACATTCCCATAGGGACAGACATTATCTCACACTTTAGTGGCAAAGAATCGAAGTGGTCCAGCTTCTGAAGCACAAAGAACCATAGGAGATGCACCCTGAAGTGCACCTAATGCCACACGTGGGTGAGTGAAGCAGCTGGAAACTTAGATAGGACTTTGCAGAGTGGCTGCTCACACCCAGGCCAGGTTTATTTGGGTGCAAATCACAAAAGGTAACTCTGAGGTGAAGACATACCCTTGAGCAGCAGCATAGAGAGAGAGAGAGAGAGAGAGATAAAATGACTAAGGGCTTCAAGTGATATTATCTACAGAAAATTCCCCACAGGAAACAATTGGTCTGCCACATGTTTTTGAAATAGATCATCAGATTCACTTTCCTTCCACTTCACAGAGATGGAGACTTATCCCTCCCACCACAAACTGGCCTTTAGATGATCATAAGAGAGGCTGCTATTACAACAACTCTGGATGCTTACCTCTGCGTGGTTCAGTGCATCACAACCATACTGGGATCCCTTTCAGGTCAAACAGGTTTATTGTAAAAACAACTACAGTAAACTTCCGATAATACGGCACCTTTAGGACCCAGGGGGTGCCGGATTATCAGATATGCCGGACTATCGGAAGGGGGGGCTATGAGATGTCTGGGGTAGGGGAAGGGGGTGGGGAGGCGGCGCTGCG